ATTAAAAAATTATAAAATCTAATAGGTTGGAGAATAATCTTTGGTATCTTTTATTCTTTACTAAATGTTTATCAGTAATCTTGTCCTTGAGGTGACGAGTCACCGTGCGATATACATCGTTTCTTGCAAAACAAACAAATAAATATTCTTTCTTCACTTTGGTTAGGATAAATTAAAATAGTTAATCTAATGTTTCAACTAAAATTGAGATCTGCTTCCCACAAATAGCAACTCAATAGCAGCTAAAACAACATCGAATTCATTCAAATTTTCAAAGTCTGCGCTACAAAAAGACTCTCAGTCCGGTCACCCCTTAAAGTTCAAGTTATTTTACGAAACCTAAAGAAAACGGCCCGCGTTTCCACTAGTTAAATATGCTATTTGGCAACAAAAATTTTAATAATACATTAACTAAAAGTATTTTCATTGAGCTTCGAAACTTTTATTAAGCGAGACTTTACATACACCTGATTTGTTTAGTAAACTGATAATTACATTCAAAGACTTCAAAGAAATTAAATAATGAGGATTATTATTTAAACTAATTTATTATTTTAATTCCTGAGTGTTTCTGAAAAAAATGTATTCTCCTAGCCAATAAACAATAAATTTGTTTAGAAAAATGCAAAAAAAGTTTTTTGAAATTTTAAGTTTTGCTGTTAGAATATAAAAACATAAAAACATTTTATATTAAAAAAAAAAAAATGTAAAAAAATAAAGCAAATGTTAAATAAAATTTCATAAAAACAAACAAAAAATGAACTTCCTAGCAATAAACTTTTGTTAAAAAAACAAACAAGTAATAAAGAAACTAAAGAATTAGATTACACCAATTAGATTTATTAAACATTTATGTAGAAGTATCAGATTACACTAATTTATGTAGAAAGTTACACCAATATATTTACACCAATTTATGTAGAAACCAAGTTTACACCAATTTATGTAGAAAGTATTAGATTACACGAATTAGATTTATTAAACATTTATGTAGAAGTAGTAGCAATTTTTGTTATCTAGAACTAATTTTTTCGTTAATAAAACATTCATTACTCTAGAAATAAGTAGAAAAGTGATCGAAATAACCTGCAGGTATTTTATGATTCAACTTACCCTATGAAATTTGATGCAACTTACCCCATAGGCATCAGTATCACTCTAATCAATTTATACAACTATTTAATTAAATAAATCTAGTTTTTTTATAATTAAAAAAAGATTTTTTTAAACGCATGTCATTTGTTTCATAAATAATGTATCTTAGCCACTAGCATTTTCTAGTATAAATTACAAGCTTCTTATATGAATCAGTGTTTTTTAAAAGGGCTGATTCACTCAAAACCCGTTTTTAAGAAAACTAAAAAAAACTAGTTATATCTTTTAATATTAAATATACAGGTTTTGTGAAATATATTTGTAAAAGATATATGTAAGAGTAACATCTTAGTACACTTTGATAATTGTTATAACATTTCGTTTGTTAATAATTAATATATGAAAGTTCCGAAAATTCGCCCTTTTAAAAAAAATTGAATATTTCAGGAAAGAAAACAAATTAAAACTCCGTAAGAACTACAGCTATGTACTTTAAAACAATATTTTTACGTGGTGGTAATAAATATAATACATATATATATGAATTAATAACAAAAAAAGCTCTCAGTAAGCATTAAGTCTCAGCATTTAATCTAGTTCTTCCTCAAAGTCACTATCAGGAAGAATCTCACATTCGTTAGTTGGCCAGGAGTACAGCTCGTTATAAAACTCGTTGAATTCTTCAGGAATGAATTCTTTTAATTTGTTAAGGTTTTCCACCTTCGCTTTTTTCAGTGTAACTTTGCCACTTGGATAAGCTAAACTATCCACCTGTGGTACAGTACCCATATGTTTTGACATAAAAAATGTTTGACATACCAAACCATTAATATTGGTGAATACCTTAATGTAGCCTTTTTTATCATGTTCATATACAAAATGAAACAAGTTACTAATTGAAAAGTGAACCTTCTTTCCTTTTGGGGTATTTTTACCCTTGGTTTCTGAAGAAATACAAGATTTTTTGTAATGTTTTGGGCTCCAAGCTTTAAAATCAAAAAATTTAGTTCCACCTACAATTTCTTTTACCGTAAATTTTTGTGATCTGGAGCTGCTAATAATAAGCTCAGTGAGTTGATGCATATGATAAAGACGATCATGTGTTTTTAAAACACTTGAAATTATACCAAAGTCCCTATCACAAGGGAGGAAACTATGCCCTCTCATTGGGAAGAACTGTTCGACTTTATCAAATCTACCACTGTCAGTTAAGTATAAACAAAAACGTGATAAGATCTGATTTTTATTTTGTCCACTACAGTTGTCACAAAACAAACGTAATGTATTATACTTCAATGGAACTGAGATCAAATAATCATTTAAAAAAGTTGCAACTTCATTAGGCCCTTTTCTTCCTTGACCTTCATGGTATATATATACATGACCTTTTCCTTCTTTAATGTTATGTATAGAATATATATGTCTCATACAATAAAGTTATTGGACAGGTATTTTTGGCAAGCTTAATGTATTCATATAGTCAAATGCCAATGATAGAATGTGTTTCTCTTTTAAGCTATTTTCTGATGTTTCATGTTTTAAAGCATTGTAAAATTTATTACTCATGCGCTTATGAACATCTAAATCAGTCTGCGCTGCTCTTTTAGCTACATCATTGAGATGTGGTGATTTCAATCTAAGATTTAATTCTTCACACGTGTAACAAGTATCCACTTGTGGGCGCCCAAACCGTAATTAAAATTAGTTTTAAAATGGTTCCAGTAAAAAGAGTTGCTCACTTTTAAATCTGGATTTTTTTCGCAAAAAAGTTGCCACATTGTTTTTACATTTAAACTTGCGTCGAGGTAATATACTTTTTTTCCCTGAGTAATGTGATTCCTTGAGTGGAAATGATCTTATGTGATTACTAACAATGTCATGAACATTCTGAGGAAGACAATTAGTAATACCTTTTCCTCTTTTTTCTTCAGGGGTTATTCCAATTACCTTTAGGCTCCTTGTTCTTCGTAATTGTTTTTCACTAATACTTTAGGCAGATAAAAGTGCACTGCAACATATCTCTATGCATATATTGCCTACAATCACATGATAATAGAAGCTATTTGGCTGCATCGGGTTTTCAAGATCTTTTTGATGTGGCACTCTTCTTTTAACTTTAGTGACATCTATTAGTCCTTGAATATAAAAATCTTGTTTGTCTTTGCTTTTTATATAATAAAATTTGGAAAAGATATCCACACAGTTAGTCTCTCTAAAGTTCTCTAAACACTTTTTCTTGCACCTTAAAAAAGAAATCAGAAAAACTAATATAAAATTAATACAAGCTAAAAAAAGTTTTTACTAAAATACACATCATTATTTAAAACCACCAAAGTTGTGGGAAAATATACTATAGTACTATAGCTGGTTTAGACTTAGGGTTAGGTTTTTAGAGTCAAAATATATGCTATTTTATAAATTTTCAACATTCAATAATTTTAAACTCATGCTTTCATGAAATAAAATTAATGTTTCAAAATTTTATAGTTTAATATTTTTTATAATTTCATGTAAACATGAGACTAATGTAAATATTAAATTTATGATAAGTTGAAAATGATTTAAATATACTATATATATATATATATATATATATATATATATATATATATATATATATATATATATATATATATATATATATATATATATATATATATATATATATATATATATATATATATATATATTATATATATATATATATATATATATATATATATATATATATATATATATATATATATATATATATATATATATATACATATATATATATATATATATATACACATATATATATATACATTGAAATTAACTTAAATAGGGCATTTTGCAATATTTATATTTTAACACGGTCCTAGTACTAGACGATGAGGGTTTGTGCCAATATGAGACATATTGTACGTTTTTGGTTTTTTTTTACAAAAACCTCACACAGGACACAGATTGAAATATTTTTTTAGAAGTGCGGTACTAAAAAAACGACAAGTTTTAGTTCTTTGGAAACTACCAATTTTCTGTGAATATTTTCTTTTTGGTGTATTACCTGTTTCCGCTTTTATCAGAAAAATAAATAGTGAAGAAAATTGATGCATTAATTAAAAATATATGATAACTTTTTGAAATACCATATAGAACGTGCAATAAGAAAGTAAAAAAAAAAATGAAATTGAAAATGTGTTTGATATTACAAAAATAGATTAATTAGAAACATATATAAAAAAAACACTGTTTAAACAGTTTTACCATCTATAAGATCCTCAGGAAGGTGATTTATTATATCTTTGTTTTTTATGAATATAGAGCATTTTTTTTGTAGCATAAAAGGCTATATCAAGACTATAAAACTTGAAATATATTGTATTGTTTGTCTTGGAGTCTAATTATAATCTAAAAAAAAAACAATCCACCAACCCGACGGGCATTTGTTTTTAAAAGTTACGTTCTAAATGTATTTTAAATATCTTTTAAACGTTTTTTGGGTAAGAATGTTTAGAAGACGTTTAAAAGACATTTAAAATACATTTAGAACGTAACTTTTAAAAACAAATGCCCGTCCGGAAACTTTTGTTAAAACTAAACTTATATTGAAAAAAAAAATCAAAACAATTTTAAAGTATTATTACCTATTTCTTCATCTGCAAGATAAAAATTTGTTAAAAAAAATGCCAAGGGTTTTTAGTTTTTGAACCCAACAAGTACAACAGACATCGATTAGCTTAGCTTGACCAAGAGAAAGATAATTATTTAAACATGCCCAAAATTTTAGACAAAGACCACGTTTAAATAATACTACCGGTTGCTCCTCGATTTGAATTTTTTTCAATAATATCTTGTTTTAGTATATTAAGCATATTATTTCTTAAGCACATTATTGATGTCTATATTTCAATTTGTAACAGTGAAGAACGAACAAAATGATGCTGGCGTAAACAAAGGTTTTAAAGAATGACATTTTTATTCAAGATTCTGGTGCATATATATACGGCATAATGTTTATAAAGAGTTTATTATAATAATATATAACTTAGTTATTGTTCATAATTTATAATGATATTTTTTGTTTTGTTTTTTTTTTGTTTATTTGATATTTCTGTTTGCTCGATTTTTTTTGTTTGTTTAAACTTTTGCAAGTTTTTTATTTTAACAAGTTTATTTAAAGAATCAATTGAATTGAATTTACTTTATTATTACTGTTTTTTGTTTTTTTAAACTTTCAATTTTATCAAAAAGATGCAAGCTGTAATTTTACTTCTCACGTATAAGTAAAAAGTTTGAACGTTGTCAATAAGTATATATAATTTTAAAAAGGTTTTCTTTTTTTTTAAATAAAAACCAAACAAATATTAGAAGACTTACCTGATTAGCTGAGTTTCAAATTTGAAGTGAGGCCAGTCTTTAAGGCTTTTATTATTATAGGTTTTTGCAAAGTAAATTAATTTTTTATAAGTATGATAGTAATTTTACTTAATAACCGTGTCATTTTTTTAAATCAAAATAAAAAATTTATTTTTTCGTTAAGATTCCAAAAAAAAAAATTACGAAAAATCCTCTTAACATTTATAAAATACACTCAAAACCAATATTGTGTTAAAGTTTTTTAGTCTGCCTACATCTTATAGTTTTTTAGTCTGCCTACATCTTATATTAATGCCAGATTGCTGCACCTATATCAGTTAACATTTATTTTCACTTACGTTTTAAAAATAAAAAAATTTTTAAAAGCTTAACGTAAATTTTTCAAAAAACAGTATCTTCTTCATCAATTGCTTTTCAATTTGTATTTTGCTGTATTTTTTAACTTCAATTTGCATTTTGCTGTAAAATTAAGCTAAGTTATAAGAATTAAGCAACAAAATGTTTCCATATTAATAAGTTGTATGACTGCTAATTAACAAAAGGAAACCATTAGTTTCCTCAACTCTCATTAATGCAGATTTTCTCCCGGTAAGCTTCTGCGATAAACGTAGGCAAAGATGAGTAAGTGTGAGCCACTTTTTTAAAATGATCGAATCAAGGAAACTTAAAGTGAGAAAATTATAGGACAAGGAGCCTAAGATTGCTTGCTGTATTAGGTTTCTAGAAGTAATAAAGCAAATACTAAAACATCTCTAGATTTGTATTGGTTTAAACAATAACTCGTGAACACCTACTGGAATCGATCAAATGTTAGGAGTGAGCCGTTTTTTTTACCTGAAATTAAAGGTTAGATTTTGTTTTAAAATAATTAGGGGATAGTTCGGTAACCCCGTTCACTTAAGGAAAGAATACATTGTACGCATGTACTAACAGGAACAGGAATAGCTCTTTTACTTACCTTTTTTTTTACTTATTCGAGTAAAGCAATTTTTATCAAAAAGTAAATTACATAAGTAATTTTAAACGTTTTATGTAGGGAAAGTAGGGGCATAACCGCCCCCGTAACGTTTGGATTAATGTTATATGAAAATAAAAACGAAATGTGTTTTTTTAACAGTTTATTTCAATAACCACATCATTAAGCTTTAAATTGATGAATTTAAGAAAAAATTGAACGGGTTTTGAAAATGTTATTACACAAAAATTACACTTAGTGAAAAAAACAGTTTTGCCCCCATTGTGAGACACAACCACACCCTCACAAAAATCGTTGGGTGTACACTGTTCTAGGTATATTTTCTTTACAATTGTCAAAGTTCAGATTATTTGCTGATTTTGTTGCACGTTTGTATACTGTGTAGGCATTCTTTGTACTTCTTAGTTTTCTCATTCGATATACTCTTAGCTTTATTTTTATTCAAAAACTCATTTATAAAAATCAAATAAAAAAATACGAAATCTAATTTTTAACATCTCAAAACAAAACTTTTCCAACATTTTATCTAACAAAAAACAAAACTTTTATAATAAAAAAACAAACTTTTCTAACAAAGCTTTTTCTAACAAAACTTTTCTAACAAATAACAAAACTTTTCTAACATCTTTTTTTTCAAAAAATTTTTCTGCTGAAACATCTTTTCTAACAAAAAACAAAACTTTTCTAATAAAACTATTCTAACAAAACTTTTCTAACAAAAAAAAAAGAAAAAACTTTTCTAACATCTTTTTCTCAAAACAAAACTTTTCTAACATCTTTAACAACTTTTTTATCATCTCAAAGCAAAACTATTACATAACGCATTCAAATGTAACGATTGTAATTGTTGTTATTCGTAATTACTTAACTTTAATAAATATTAAAAGTATGCGGTTGTGCCTCCTGTGCGTCTAAGCGGTTCTGCCTCAGAAGACAGTTTTTTGGAAGAATACAGTTTTATAGCTTGCTTATTAGATTATGTTGGTATTAAAAACGATTTTCACTTGATGAAATAATGCTGATAACATCTTTAACACTTAAATCAAATATTGCTTTATCCTCAAAAAAATCTTTAAAAATAGATGTAAATATAATATTTTTATCAAAATATACATTATTATGCACAACCTCTCAGAAATATAATAGGCACTCTTTTTGACATAAGCAAAATGAAGGAAACTATTTTACTAATGTGTGGTTGTTTTTTTTGGCATATTAGATAATATTTTTCAAAGAGAAATGCTAAAAATCGTTTCTGCCTCCATATGCGGTTATGCCCCCACTTCCCCTAAATTTATATTTCCGTATAAGTAATTAATATTTTTGAAATGACTTTTACTTTATAATGTTTTTTTACTTTCAAAAGTAAGCTATGTAAAAAAAGATAGATCAAAAAGTAATTTACTTATACATGTAAAAGTAAGTCACGTGAAAAAGCTGTTTACTTTTACATTTAAAAGTGAATTACTTTTGAAAATTACTTTACATAATATAAAAGTTACTCAAACTGTAATTTACATTTACCAATATAAGTAACTAATTAAAAAAAAATTATATTAAAAATATCTTACCTATAAAAGTAAATCACATAAAAGTAATATGCTAGCAAATAAAAATTAAATTTACAAAAAAAATAATATTTTATAAGTAGGAATTTTTTATATTAAAAGTAATAACAAATTTTTATTAAAAATAAGTTTTAAAAAATAAATTTTTAAATTACACAAACTTACATTTTATATAATTTGTAAAGTAAATTAAATTTATGAAAAGTAAGTAAATAAATTTACTTATATTTTACAATAACTTTGACAAGATCTTGTACAAAAGTAACGCAAAAAAGTGAAACTTTAAGGCACTAACATTTAGTTTGCTGCAACATTTGATTGGCGCGGTTTTAGGCATTTCTTCCCTGTAAAGTTTGAAAATATCTACAATAGGTTTCCGCCGATGATTAAAGCCCTCTCTAATTCCGGTCCATCATAGTTTTAGCTGTAATAACCATTCTCTGAATTAAACTATTTCAAAAATGTTTACTCTCTGGCCAACTATTTGAAAGGTCTAGAATTTAGACAAAGCTGAAACAAGGTAGTTTAACTACATGCGCTTTCTGCTAATAGCACAAAGCGCATACACCCATGGGAGACTCAGAAAGAGCAGTTGCTCAAAAGAGTTTTTTAAGAAGATGCTTTATTTTCGTAAAGATTTTTTGCCACTTTGATACGAAATATGTCCACATGTTCAAGAATATCCTTTGACTCTAAAAGTCTTGGTTTAAACAACTACGGTACTTTTATATGGGCATGAAAAATTAAGAACTATTCTCGTAAATATCTTTATTTGCTTTATCTGCGTGTAGTATCAGTGACCTAGATACCATAAGGTCATTATAAGCAAAACTTAACATTTCTAGTTCTATTCCGCTTTTTTGTATTCTTTTTTTCAGGGTCAAATTTTAGTTCAAAATTTTCAAAACCACTTTTTTTAAGGGCATCTTCAAATATTCGTTTGGAGGAATTAAATACATTTTCATTAGAGGAGTTTTGGTTTAACCTGTTATTAATTGAAATTGGTATTTGTTTTAGAATTTGTGGTGGATGATTTGAGTTAATATTAATGTACAATAATTCATCGTTTGGTTTTTTGAAAGGTTTATATGAATTTTCAGAGAGGTTAAATGAGACATCAAGAAAGTTCACAATTTTTAAATTTATGTTTATTTCGATTTGAAAGCCAATATTTTAAAACATTTTTATAATATCTTTTCTAAATCAAATGGTAATGTTGAATGCAAAAATAAAAATAAATTCTTTAAATAAACAACACATTGAAAACGTTTTTCAGACTTTGGAATGCTGTTAAACAGTAAATAACAAACACAAATAAACTGGAAAAGAGTATTACCAAGATAACGCAATTTACCACGTGAAACATAATCTGTAAATTCAGAACTAGCTGACTGTGAGGTTGTTGTATCAACTACACGGTGCGGATAGATCTTGTGCTGTACATAACCAGCCATATAAAAAAGGGCAGCATTCTCCTAATTATTAATAGATTCATTGCCTGCATTAATTAAGCATTCATCTAAATAAATAATATCCTCTTCCGTTAGATCCATTGTGCAACAGTCTGAATGTATGCGTGAGCAATGAATGTCAGTTTCATCCAAAGAAACTATTTTGCTGAATAATTTTAATCACTGAAGGTGCAAACTGTTCAATACTTGTTCTTCTGAGATAAAATAATATTTAAGGAGGCTTGTGCATTTTGCAGCCTGGTGCCCAGTGTTTTTCACACACACCCATATTTGAAGTTACTTTTTAAAACGCATTTGGAATAGATGACAACCAATATTGTATTTTTTGGTTATTTTTTGAAAAATGTTGTAAATATCTCCCATATTTCTATTGCATTATTCTATATTTTATCAGTACAATACTGATGAAAAATATATGCTTTATATTAGTAATAGAAATTTATATCACTTTAATGTATTCTAAAATGTGAATATAGTTAGATTAATTTAAGTTTTTCATAACTTCTTTGTTAAATCAAACTAGCATCGCCATTTACAATCGGCCCTGTGGTCGTTTTAGCATCGATTTGAAGTTTTGCGTCCCGTTATTTTAGTAGTCCCTGTTTTCCCAATAGCTTATTTTCATATTTCATGTACCGTATTTGAGATGCCTCCAAACAGTGTCTAATTTTGTGCCTGATAACTTCTCGTTTCGTTTATTTCTTTTAATTCTTAAAACCTATTCTCATATAAAATAAGGAAGTTCAAAAAAAAAGTTTTCGTTTGACGAGATCTTGTTAAAAAAGTGACAGTGTGACCTTAGATATATACCCGGAGATTTCTGTTCACACTCTACAAGGAGTGGAGATAAATTGTGGCTATAAATGCTCTAAAAAAATGTTTCTTGCCGTAAAGAAAAGCAGGAATATGTTGCAATTCGTCGTTTAAAGCTGCTA